CAAGCAGGATTGACTGAAGGCATGAAGTTAATGCCACGATTATTAGGATTGCAAGGTAGATTGCAATTGTTAAAATCTCAAACACAATTGAGAAATAATCTTAATAACATGAACATCGAATCTGACGATGAGGAGGATAAAGAAATTTCTAATATTATAGTTAATAATGATGATTCAGAAAATGTCACCATTGCAAACGGTGAGAGTGATGATTTCGAAGAAGCTGATGCTGAGTCATTTGCTATTGATGCAGAAGCAGAAGAAGCTGTAGATGAAGATAGAGACGAAGAAGAAGCAGAGGAAGAAGATTAAGATACATAGAAATTATTTTTATACTCAAATTTTCTACATGGTGCTCTGACTATAATATATACTGTAGCATAATATAAATAAATACTTTGTAAAAGAATATATAAAATGTAGCTGATGCTTAAATTTTGGCCACCAGTTTTTGCTATATATTTTTTGTTTGTCAAATTCCTAGATTAATGCGCGGGTAGTTTAGTGGTAAAATCCAGCGTTCCCATTGCTGGGCCCCGGGTTCGATTCCCGGCTCGCGCATTCTTTTTACAAAGAAAAAAATATATTTTTTGTGTAATTTTTTTTTTTCAGTTAGAAGGATTTATTTGACAAATTAACAGAATAGCCAAGTAGGACATTCTACTTAACGACGGAAACTACGTAGACCTATAAATCTATTCGGCCTCAACGCTCTTAATATACTAATTATGGATGCAAATTTATTATTAGAGTGCTTTTCAGCAACGTTGCAATCCGATCAGTCAGTGAGGCATCAAGCTGAATTGCAACTTCGCCAATTGGTTTTAACTCCAGGCTTTTTAGGAGGTTGTCTTGATATTATATCATCGAACAATCCAGCTGTCAGTCTTTCTATTAAGAAGGCTGCTGCCGTATTTTTCAAGAATCGTATTGTTAAATACTGGGGAAGTGAAAAACAGAATAAGATTGACAATGACGAGAAGCCTGGTATAAGGGATCGTATATTGCCAGTATTGATTGAAAGTGATTATAACACCAAGCAGCAGTTGATCCCAGTATTGAGAGTTTTGATTTCATATGACTTTCCTAATAATTGGAAAGACCTATTAGAAAAAACGGGGACTCTTTTACAACAAGTACCTGTTGGAGCGACTAAAGACGACGACTTTTCACAGTTGTATACTGGATTATTATGTTTTAGTGAAATATCTAGGAAATTCAGATGGGTCTCCAATAATGATAGAGAAAAGGAATTGGATCCAATTATTATTCAAGTTTTTCCACATTTATTGAACATTGGTAACTCAATAATTGCCAACTCTGAAAATATGACTGAGTTAACTGCAGAAATATTGAAATTAATTCTTAAGGTTTATAAGTTTGTTACATATTTTGATTTACCGGCTGTATTGAGAACGAGGGAATCATTGATTTCATGGGGTGAATTTCATGGATCTATTGTTAATATGAATACACCAACTTACGTTTTGAATTCTACTTTAAGCGAACAGGAGAAGTCATTTTTACAAATTTCAAAGTGTTATAAATGGGCAGTTGCTAATTTATACCGTCTTTTTACCAGATATGCTTCACAGAGTTTATCTAAGAAATTTTCATATACAGAGTTTCAAGGTATGTTCTGTGATGATTTCATACCTCATTTAATAACCAATTTCTTATCAATCATAGAACAATGGTGTTCGAAAAAAAGATGGCTAAGTCTATCATGCATTTATTATTTATTACAGTTTTTAAGTCATTGTGTTACGCAAAAGTCAACATGGTTGTTAATCAAGCCGTACTTTGAAAATTTGGTATCTCATTTAATTTATCCATTATTATGCCCATCTGATCATGTATTAGAAATATTTGAAACCGATCCTCATGAGTATATACACTCCAATTTTGATATCTATGACGAGTTTGATACCCCCGATGTTGCTGCCCTTGGATTATTAGTTACGTTTGTCGATAAGCGGAGAAAGACAACGTTGGAACCAATTATAAAATTTGTATATAATCAATTGAATGAGTTGCTGCAGCAGCCAGAAACACTCGATGTTGCTAAAAAAAGAGAAGGTGCATTGAGGTTAATGGGTGGGATCTCCCACTATGTTGTTCTACCACAATCACCTTATTATTCTCAAATGGAACAATTTTTGACGGCGTTAGTATTTCCAAATCTTTCTTCGAAGTTTGATTTCTTGAAGGCGAGAACGTTGGAAATTTCCCTGAAATTTGCAGATTTGAATTTTGAGAATAAGGAGAACTTGTTAGTATTATTCCATGGAATACTTGAAAATTTCAGCTCATCCAGTGAGGAATCAAGTTTGCCAGTTGATTTTGAATGCGCATTGATTATCCAGGCATATATCCATTTGCCAGAGTTCCAAGAAGTCTTGTCAACGATTATATTACCTACAATGTCAAAATTATTGGACTTATCTAATCAGATTGATAATGATGCAATTTCAGCTGTAATGCAAGAATGTGTCGAAAATTTCTCTGAACAGTTACAACCATTTGGGGTTGATTTAATGACTAAATTGGTTGAGCAGTTTATGAGATTAGCTGTCGAAATCAATGAGGCATCAAAAGTGGATGTAGACGATTTTGATGGAGAATATGACGATCAAACAGACAAAGTTATGGCAGCAGTTGGGTTGTTGAACACAATGATTACAGTTCTTTTATCATTTGAAAACTCGCGGGAGATTTGTGCTAAGTTGGAAGAAGTATTTTCGCCTGTTATTGAATTTGTCTTGATTAATAAGATGGATGATTTCTTAACTGAAGTAGGTGAATTGATGGAAAATTCAACGTTCCTTTCAAGATCTATCAGCCCAATTATGTGGAAGAATTTCACATATCTTTATGAATCATTTACAGATGGGATCGCATTGATGTACACGGAGGAGTTAAGTCAATGCTTGCAAAATTTTTTGATTTATGGGCAAGAAGACCTTATGAAATCACCACAGTTAATGGAAAACTTCTACAATATTTTCAATATTATCATTGAGAGTGATGACGCTCAAGTAGGATTCAATGACATTGTGCTTGCATGTGAATTGGCGCAAACATTCATATTGATGTTACAGACTCAGGCACAAGCATATATTCCTAATTTGGTCAATAGCGTTTTGAAGATTTCACTAAGCATGCAACAAGATGAACAGCATGTCAAGTCTATTTCGTTTAATATTACCATCCTGAATGTTATTATTGCATCTATGGTGCATGATTCGAATGCCACATTAATGTGCTTGCAAAACCATCACCAATTGGCACCATTTTTCATAGAATGGTTTAAGACAGTTCCTAATTTGAAGCGTGTATATGACCTAAAGCTATCAACACTTGGGTTGATTAGTTTGATGGACAATAACGAGGCCTTGAACGTATTGGGTAACGAAATAGTCGCTCAGATTGGGTCGAAACTCGCTTCCATCATGAAAACGTTGCCTAAAGCTATCGAAAACTTGGAGCATAAAAGAAAGAACTTCAGCGAGTCAGAGTATGCTTCGGGCCAACCATATGATGATGCATGGGAAAGCCACAATAACTACGATGACGATGAAGAGGAAGAAGAAGCCACTAGCACACAAGGTCTCACTCACGAACAAACAGATAGCACCACCGAATACTTAGATTTTTTGCTGCAAGAAAACATCAAATTGAAAAACTCGGGATTTTTCGATGACGAAGACCAAGAATTAATCGAAGATCCTCTAGCCGCATCTCCATTAGACAATTTGAACGTTTTCCTGCTCTTCAAACAATTCAGTCAAACATTGCATGCCAATGACAACACCAAATACAACATTATTTTCGGCTCATTGGATTCTTCTGACCAGAAAATATTTAATGATATTTTTGAAGTGGTTAACTAGAAATCGATTTTCCTCCTGAATCAGTTATATTTAGTGTATATTAGATACAAATAAGCCAATATGAATATCTTGTTGGTTCGCAAAGTACATGATCGCCCTATAACAAGTAACTACCGTAGATGGGTCGAATGCGCAGCGTTCAAAACTGTAATCCCGAGGAAAGCTCATCTCTTCTTTAGGACCATCTCTATTCTATTCGGACTCACGGATATTGTATTCCTTATTGAATCTATCCGAAGTGTCTTTCTAACGTTTGGTCCCGCGTTCGGTTGCATATACCAGAAACCGTAAACGTGATTGACTTGCAGCTTCTGCTCGATTTTTTATACCACGTCCAAAAAGAATCTCATATTAGCTCAATATCAGCTGGTGCTACAACCATCGCAAAAATTTTTCCATACTACGTCAAGAGAATATACGTCAAGATTGATGTTTCGTAGTACCTGCGGACTACTAGTACCTGCGGACTTCTAGTATCTGCGGACTTCTAGTACCTGCGGACCAGCCGTATCGACGTCTAAAAAAAGATATCAAAAGATGCCAGTAGATGCCAATGTAATTATAAACCTATTTCTCATGATCATCAATATACAATAAATGTTACATTATCAATGAAATAAGATTCATTGAGATCTTACCAATTTCTCTTTTGAGTAACCTTTCCAGGATTTCAGGCCATTTTATGCTTTGTGGTTTGAATGCAATTTTAAATTATTCTGTTGTAAATACGCTTGTACCCTTTGTAATCATATATGTTTCTTTAAAAAGTTATTGTATATGAGTTATATTGTACAGTTTTAAACCTGTGAATGTCCTTATGCATTTTGTCGATGGGCTGACACACGTGTATCCGTTGCAGTAAATTTGCAGCCAATAAGTCCTGCACCTTATTCGGAAATTGGAACCACGTTTCGATGCCTTCACATTATACCCATTATTCTAATTAGCTCGCAAATATAGCCATGTGGTTATTATTGGGTTCCGATTAACAACGGTAACCGTTCTAAGTAGGTGGCATGTGGGTTGATGCATGCTATTGAACCATGTGGCTTAAAGCAAGATTTAATACTTTTAAAGTTTATGTTATTATATAAATAGTAGATGGGTCGTAAAGAGTATTTTGTTTTCATCATACAGATATTTAAGAAATAGACATACTTTTAACTAATACTTTTAACTAATACGTTTAATCTTCTAGACTCAGTTACATCAAACGATTTACTGATTTGTGGTGAATAGAATCTACTGGAACTAGAATAGAACTATAGCAACACAGGATAATATATACCAGCAAAACTTAAGAACACAATATAGAGAAGCACATATGTTGATTAAAACATTATTAATAATTGCCTTGCAATTTGTTAACTTGACATTAGGATTAAATATCTTGATGTCTTCAAAAGATTCATGGGTGTCAAAAAATACCCGTCATTTATACGCGGGATTAAAGGCCGAGGGCCACGATGTCAGATTGATCGCTCCTTTGAATAACAATGGACACTTGAATGATGCAAGTATTGCCAACGAGAAGAGTACAAGCTCTAAAAGAGAACAAGACGGACAAGACGGACAACGTGAGATACTTAACGGAGGAGATTTCGGACATTTGTTGCCAGTGCACCAAAAGTACTACAAGACAATAAAGCAGTTGAATAACCTGCCACGCGGGGCTAAGAATGTTATTTTAAAGAAAGATTTGACTAACATGGAAGAGAAAACTAATTTAGTCTACAACAACTACTTTGGACAAGATCCATTGGACAAATCGGTTTGGTATGTGAATGCATCACCTTTGGAATCATTATTGATTGCTTTTGATATACTTTTGCCCCAATTCGAGCCTGACTTCAAACCTGACTTAGTGCTCTTGGGTCCCGATGAAGGTTTATCATTGACATCTTCAACCGCTAGCCAACAGCCATTATTTCAAGAAAACCATCCAAACTCGGATAACGGATTAGATTCTATGATGCGTTTAGCCATGTTAAAGAAATATCCTGTCATTGGTGTCTCTACCGGTGACGATCATCACATTTATTTTCAAGACGAAAACTTCTTCAATATCCAACAAGGCGTTTTATCCAAGCATTTGTTGAAAAAGAATATTTTTACCAAAAATATAAAATTCATTAATAGTAGAGTGATTGAGTTGATTAATAAGTTAAAGGCTTCAAATGAAGCCATGTTACCAGAAAATGTAGCATTAAATGTCAACTTTCCATCCATTAATCATGATGTTTCTCATTGTACTACATCTTGGAAAGATAAAAACAACAACAACCCAACCTTCAAACAAGTTGTCTACGACAAGAAATATGACCACTCCAAGCATAATCTCTTACCTAAATACGAATTGGTTAACGATACTATCCGTGTCGTTGGTGAATACAGCGTAACCGCTGATGAAGATGTCGAACAACAAACCTTTGTTGATAAGAAATCTTATTACTATTCGCATATTCTGAGACGTGATACTTCTACAGATGCCACAACTGATACTGAGTTGAATTCAATTGAAACTAGCGGGAATCCTAGTCAAGATTACTCGGACAACGATGATATCAATCAAATAATGAGTAACATCGACGAGTTAAACGTATTGAAGAACTGTGGAATCAGTGTCAGCGTCAACCACTTAATAAAGGGTAATGGATTGGACAAAGATTTCTTCGATCTTGAGTCGTTATTCAACTAAATCACATCTGCATATTTTCATTCATAATTCGCCATGTATTTCTTATTGAGTTTTGAAACAGGATTTTAGAACTCTTCGATACCTTTCGATACCATATATACTTTAATATTATTCTTTAATAAAACGTACATAACAGATTACTTCATTAACACTACATAGTGGAACGTATCGCTGTAGATCTTGACTCACAAAGTCACGTGAAATTTACTGATAACCATAGTTGATAACTTAATATGAAAACATGTTGATAAAAAAATAAGGATATATAGAGTTAGAAGACGATAGATTACTTATAATACAATGGCACCGACACTCTTGCCAAAGGTGTCCATGGGATCATCAGAATTTTCGAGAATACCTTTGTCAGAAAGGCGAAAATATCATAAATTAGGGACGTTATCTTGTATGTCTCTAATTGTAAATAAAATGATAGGAACGGGGATTTTTCTGACGCCAGCTATAATATTTCAATATTGTCAGGGAAATGTTGGATTGTATTTATTCTTGTGGTTAGTCGGAGGAATAATTATTTTCAGTGGATTAGTGATATGCTTGGAATTTGCATTAAACTTACCATTCACGAACGGGGGTGAAAAGAATTATTTATTAAGGGTATTTCGTAAACCTAAGGGTCTAATGGGTTGTATTTATTCATTTCAAATGGTGATATTAGGTTTCAGTTCCGGTAATGCGTTCGCTTTTGGAAAATATGTATTATTTGCCGTAAATGGAGAGGAAATTAAAGAAGACGAGTGGAGTGTTAAGATTATTGGAGTCTTATGTATCAGTTTTTGTGTTTTCTTACATATAAAGTTTCCAAACCAAGGTACTTCATTATTCAATTTATTAGGAGTATTCAAGATATTCATATTGATCTTGATTATTGCAATTGGGTTACTTGTCTCGATTGATTTAATACAGTTACCTGACACTGTTAATAATTTTTCAAATTTGTTCGAAGCTACGACCAAGAAAGATAATAATTATTACTCTATATCAGTAGCTCTATTAGAAATTATCTATTCTTTTAAGGGATGGGAAAATGCTAATTATGTTTTACTGGAAGTCGCTGATCCCTACCATGTTCTTACGATCGCTGCCCCATCTGCGGTTGTTATAACGACAATATTATACTTTTTGGTTATTATATCCTATCTTATTGTGATTCCTAAAGAAGAACTATTGGATAGTGGAGTGTTGGTAGCAGGAATATTCTTTAATAAGATATTTGGCGAAAGCATCACATCAAGAATTTTACCTATTTTAATCTCTTCTTCAAATCTAGGAAATGTAATGGTAGTTTCATTTGCTCATGCTCATGTTAATCAAGAGCTTGCAAGAAACAATTACTTACCATTTTCGAAATATTTTGAAGATATAAATCATTCATTGTTATTGCATTGGTTCGTTACTGTCGTAATTATGATTGCACCTCCTTCTTCAGAAATATATGAATTTGTTGTTAATCTATACATTTACCCTGGTACTTGGATTAACTTGCTAATAACAATTGGGTTGATATACTTGCACATGAATAGTAGAGGTGAGAAATGGGGGAAATACAATAGAAGGAACGAATTAGAAAGCAATTCAACTAATAGCAGCATATATGATGATAGCGATAATTTAATACTCCAATTAAATGACGACAGTTACACAGAATTTGATTCCTTAATTTCGATGGAGAATGATAATGATACATCTAAGTTTTCGGCTCCTATTATATGTATTGTCATATTTTTACTCTCAAACATATTTTTGGCGGTATTCCCGTTTATACCACCGCCATCTGATTCGTCATTATCTCAACTGATAATACCGTACTGGTGCTTTCCTGTTGTCGGTACGTCTGTATTATTACTAGGTGTGACTTGGTTTTACTTTAGAAGGTGGCTTTATACTTGGAAATATGACAAATATGGAATTGGTGAATCTAAAGTGAAATATGAAGATGAATATTCTACAAGTTAAGCTAAGTATTATTGATCCTAGTGTTACAATTGGTTTAATGCTTAAGACTATTTTATGAGTTTAGTTCTTAATCAAATCATAGAAAATACCAATGTATAGGGGCGATAAACATTATATAAGAATATAATTCATGATTGATAGATGTTATTGTATACGTTGTAAGTTTGTGGAAATGTAGACGTGATTCACTTATTTGACTCTTCAAGGTATTTTTGCACCTAAAGTCTGGAGAACCGAGGATGCGATTTTTGGAGCGCAGAAAAATGATCATTAGATCTATAAAATGCTTTACTTCCTGATCTTAAGCATTTATATATAATCAATATAAAACCAATTAAAGAAAGAAAATGGACGAATCTACCATATCGTTAAGTAATTCTATGTCTTCATCGCAACCGAGACAGTTAATTGAAAGTAACTATAAGTTGGCGTTAAAGTTCTTTATGAACAAGAATTTTAGTAAGTCTTACGAAATAATAAAAAAATTATATAAGAGTAGCTTTGGGCAGTTTGCTAGTGACATAATAAATGAAAAATTGTTCATCAAGATTCTAAATTTATACTTGACAGAGATAGGCTTATTCATAGACAAGGATAACAAAGATACAAATTTTAATTTAGAAAGAAATGAAAGACAAGAGGTAATTACAACCTTGGCACAAGATCAAATTTTAGATGAATTATACAAGGTTTATAGTGATGATATTAATGCAATACCCTCCGAAATATTGTACAACTTGTTTCTTATCTATTATATTAATAGAACTCTAATTACAAATGCGGGAAATTTGAAATTAAAATTTGACAAACTTTATTACCAATTTGACTATAATTCAAGATTAGAAGATGCTTATTTGAAGAAGTTAATTGACTTGTACGTTTTCCAAGTTTTGTTAGATAACGAAAACTTTGATGAAGCAAGCGTAATAATCAGTGAAAACCCCATATATCTGTCTCAAATCGAAGAATCATTGAGTCGTTTGAGCACTATAAGAATCGATAAAGCCAAGAAACAAAAGGAAGCAGAAAACAAGGAAAAGGAAAAACAAGAAAAATTAAAAGAAAAGAAGAAGCGTGAATTACAAAACCAAAAAGAGTTAAAGGACAGACAAAATCTTACTTATAAATCTTTAAACCAGATAAAACAATCATCAGCAAAATTTGATTCAAAGAAGGACAACAAGCCTATTAGAGCAACAAATGGCGGCTATGATATTGCATTGGTAAGGCAAAAATTATTATATACTTTGAACTTGTCGAAGAATTATATTAAGACCAATTCACCTTCAATTTTATTAATTATCTTATTACTCTTCATCTCATCAAGGTTTATAAAGGCGAGAAGAATTAATGTTATGGAAAGATTGAAACTGACATTACAAATGGCATTTAAAATTAGTTATTTATGATGTATATTAGTATATAATTTCATAAAAAAAGCGGAATCTCAATAGCACCACCAACAGTTTTGATATTCTTATCCTTATCTTTAGCATCTTCCGTGCTGTTTTTGCGCCCCTTATTTTCATTATTATCACCTTCATAAATTGTTTCATTAATTTGTACATTATGGGTTTTCGCCAGCCTCGAATTATTACGAAACGAAGCGTATGATAGTATTGGTGGTTCATCCTTTTCGCCACCGAGTTCTTCATATTCTCGAATATTTGTAGATTCTATACTAGGAACAGTAACCCGTTTATTAGCTTTTTCATTATAGTCCTTAATATATTCATAGGATTCATCGTCAAAAATATTGTTAAGGTGAAACCTTTCGAAATCTTCCGGTTCTTCGTTCTTGTCAAACTTATCGACCACCGTCGTCGTTTCTAACATATTGAATGTTATTAAAGTACCCGAATAGTTCGCTAATTGTGGATTTTTACAAAGCAACTGAATAGATAAGATGCCTGATAGATCTTTCATTATTTTGCATTTTATGGATAGCTTCACTGCTTTAAAAATTTTGCTGAAATTACCGAAATTATAACAAGAAATCAATGAAGTATTAACAGGTTTCAATTCAGCATCATCACTTTCCCCATCTTTACCATATATATTCAATTTCTCTAGTATAGTTTTCTCATTTGGAAACATTAATTTCAGATGACCAATTGGCCCTTTAGATATGAAATTGAATTGCTTATCTAAATATAACGGACCTGATTTTTGACTTTTCTTTGATTTTTGTCTTTTTGGGCCCAATTGTCTCATTTCATTCGAGATATATATAAACAAATCCACAGTATTTATCTGTTGTAAATCTTTAAGTAAATTGGCAAATACGTCACTTTTCAATATAACTTCAAATTGGATTTCACTATGATTTATTACTAAGTTATATTGTTCGTCTTCTTCTTCTTCTTGAGTATTTGAAGCATCATATGGATATGCTATATCTAGGTAAAATGTTAAGAACTCTATCTTTTCACTCATTAAGCTATCTTCAAATTCGATAACTAAAGGATGCCCTTCACCGTTGTACGTTAAATAGCACATTAAATTGTCAACAGAGTTATTAGCTGTGACAGAATTCCCATTATTTGAAGTACTCTTTGTTTTGTTCTTTGACACGGCAGATGATGCTGCTGCATTAAATGCATCACTTATTAAGCCTATGTCTACCCCGAGTCTCAATTCTTTATCGTCTTGCAGGGAATTAACACTATTTTCAGAATAAAAGTTATATGTTCCAAATAAGGATGGATCGATAGATAACTGTACATTGCATATATGATTGTATTCTGAGTATATCACTATACCATTTGTTGTTATTATCATCAACGCTTGGGAATTAATTGATGTTATCGATGAGAACACATCTGCTAAATGTGATATTTGATTTGTTGATGCAGTGAATGTAAAAGGCGAACTATTCTCGTAATTTCCAGAAGTTTCCGAAGATTTCTGGAAATCTAATGATTCATTGGACATCAGGCATATATCTTGAAAGGGTCAATTACTAGATAAAGATGTAAAATACAGTTATTAAAATGTTGCCATTTTTAAAATACTTTTGTGCGCTATAATTTAAATATTCAGTCAAGAAGAGAAATCTTATAAGATCCTGAAAGGCATTTACCTAGAGAAGTCAATAAACTCAATTAAAGTGTAAATGAAAGAAATATACGATGAAATTAAATAATGGAAACGAACTAACTTGATATATTCAATAAACAGAAATGTAGTTGTCGATTCTATTCTTTTGGTTTTGAGCAATACATTCAGCAATCCATGTAATGTTTCTTATTTCTTGCTCTTTCGATCTCAACCAAGCCCAGATAGTAGATAAAGTGAACTGCTGGGTGAATGCATTCCTACAATATTGCATTTCGAGCAAATAAAACCAATCTTCTAAATTTTTGGAGCCACCTGAGTTGGAATCGGGAGCTTCAGAAAACAAGTCCTTGTATTCACCAATGGAATCAACAATAGCTTTCAATTGTTCTACATCATCGATTTCAGATAATTTAGAATGATAGGTTGGGTATAATCTACCGTAGCTTGGGAATAAAGATAACTTGTTTTCAGCAGTTAAGTCAGGGTTATTTAATGAGTTAAGTGAAATATTAATAACTCTTTTATCTGCTTCAAAACTCAACAAGTTGGTCATTATTTCCTTGTCTGGAGAAGTAAACTCGTCCTCGATAAAGCTGACAAACGCCTCTAAGTAATTTTTGTACAAACGGTTTCTTATAATTTCAATATTCAAGTCATCCAAGTCATCAGCTGTAAGGCAATCTTTGAAGAATGGCGCCAACGGCGTATCGATCAAAACAGTATTGTACAAGCTTTCGATGTCTGTTGCGATTGATAATGTTGGTAAGGTGTCGAACCATCCTAATGGGTGACATTTGGACAATATTTCTGAACGATCTCTCTCATGCAATGTTCCTGTAATCATCAATGATACATTATCTATCATATATCCATAGCTGATAAAATCTAAAAATTTAATTAATTTACCAGATGCTTGTGATTTTAAATATTGGAACTGTTGAAACAATTTTTTGGACAAATTATCTTGTATGATTGAAGTTGATAATGGCCCTGAATGAGACGCCAAAAAGTTGCCATAGTCAGTAGCCGACAATTGTAATTTTAAATCTTCTAAATTATCACATTGGGTTAAGTTAACATATTGATTATTACCTAAAAGACCACTTCTGTAACCTCTAACAACTCCCTCAACATAACCGTAATCAACGTTAAAAAATACTCCTTCCATTTTATTTAATTGTTCTTATTCAGTATAAGGTGCTGGCTATCAATACATTTACTATCTTAATGAAAAGGGTCAATTATTTTGACCTTGTCGTGTCCCATACATAAAATGTAAATCTCAGTGTTTGCAGGTTATGTTACTAAAACGATAGATCAATAGGATATATTGGGTTAAAATCGTAAAGACAAGTATAATAAAGAATAAATAAAGGAAAGAATGTCTGGAATATTGTTGGAAACCCTTCTGAAGGACTTAGATCCAACTTTGACAGAATTTCTTGAGTCTAATTCTGAATTACGACAAATCTCGGAGCAGTATTTGGTAGATTTATTGATAAATGATGATTTATTATGCACGGATACGTATACAACAACCAGTAAAAGTTCTAATACAGATGTCTCTAATGTAGAGGGTCAATCAAAGACACTTACAGAGGAAATTGCGGAATTGGACCTGAAGCAGAGAGAAATAAAAATGCAGCTAGCATCCATAACGAATAACAACAGAGATTTGATTATTGATATAAGCAATGACTTAACTAGTATCCGGGAAGATATCCGTTCGGGTTTTGACAAAGAGATCAATTCAATGATAAAGATTTTGGATATGGAAGACTCCAATGGTGACAAATTTGAAATTCCAAAAAATGAAAGATTGAATAACTCTATGATCACGTACAATTCGATACTATCAAATATCGATTCTGTATTGGACTTGCTTGAGCTTCCTACTCTTTGTAAAGTTTGTATATTGCAAGGTAATTACCAGGAATCTTTGGAGATATCAATTTTGGTTCAAACGTTAGTTATTAGATTCCCTAATTTGAGGATATTTCAAAAGATACATCATCAAGTAGAACAAGAATTAAAATTGATGGTCAAGGGGCTAATTAAATTACTTAATACAAACTTGAAACAGAATAATATATTAAAGATCTTCCAGATTTTGAATAAGCTTGACCTTTTAAATTATAATACATCTTCTGCTATATCGTCTTCAGTCAATATCACATCCAATAAGAGGCTGCAGAAGGATAAATTTTTGAAAATAGTATACCTCAATGCAAGATTTAAATTTATTATAAATGAATTATCGAATTTAACTCCTTTGCTTAAATTTAATAAATTAACATACTTGAAGAGATACATTGAAATTTATAGAGAGTTCATCTTCAACTCATTGTCAATTTATTATGCAATTTTTAACTACTCGTCATCTTCCAGTGATGTTAGCATAAAACATGAAGAAGATAATTTATTGATCAGCCAATTTATCAAGAACTTGGCATTCTTATTGGCTGAAGAAATAAAGAAATATTTACCAGAACTTATTGCACCAAGTGACAATGACGATAATATTGATAAGCAAACACAAAAAGATGGATTAATATTACAAATAATCTATCTTTGTCAATCATTGGCTAAATATAATGTTGATTTCGAAAGTCTCATAACTTGGGAATTGTGTTATCGTAACAATGCCATTCTTTCCGAAGAAGATTGGTTAAAGAATATAGCCAAAGTTAAGAAATTTAGGGCATAATATATATTTGCAGCGAAGTCTAAATATTAACTTTATTATACATATAAATAATTAAAGATACCTTCCAAGAACTGAATAGAAAATAATAATATACATGAATAGATTTTGTAGAAAAACGAACTACTTCAATTCATTTAATCCAAATAAGAATCCCAACTCTTGTCTACCAAGCTTACTGACAGATTTCATACCCTTTTCATCGAGTGCGCCACTAATGATTTCTTTCTTCTCGTTTTGCAAAGTCATGATACGACTTTCAACGCTGCCTTCTGTTAAAATCCTATGCACTTTAACATCTCTTTGTTGACCAATTCTATGTGCCCTATCCATAGCCTGTTCTTCAACATATGGGTTCCAAAAGGGATCCATTATAATAACATGTGATGCACAAGTTAAAGTCAACCCAACATTACCCGCTCGCAATGAAATTAATAAAACTTTAGTAGATCCTTGATAAAACTGCTTAATAGTACTATTTTTCTCGTCAAGAGACATAGACCCATCATATCTCAAAAATGGAATTTTTTCATTAGCTAAAACAAGTTTCATCAAATCAAATAATGTTAAGAATTGCGAAAAGATAATAATCTTCTCATCAGGATAATTTTCCAAGACATCTTTTATTAAATGCATACACTTCTCCATTTTAGCAGACGGTGTGAAACCATTATTCTCTCGTATTAACTGACGTATCTTTTGCATATTCGTTGTCTTACCATCAGAAGAATAGTTTATATTATAAAATTCTGCGATTTTGTCTCTATCATAGCCCTCTTGATGAATCATATGGAACATATTATAATCAATCAACTCATTTTCTTTGATAGATCTTGAACACGAAAAACATGAAGCAAGACGATTTCCTTCAGATCCATCTCCAATTTCGAATCTTTCGAAAAAATTTTCAATGCAATTATTACATATCATATGGCCACACCCAGGAAACAACACAATGCTTTCATAACCCAAAACATCATAACAGATCGGACATGTAAACAAATCTTCATCGGAATTTGGATTAGATTCTTCATTTTCGCTTTTTAGCAAATTCCCTTGATGTACCTCATTCTTAATTCTATGAATGGTATCTTCGTCAAACTTTTGAATATTCAAATACATTGATTTCCAATCTCTAGTAATCAATGTTTTGACACCCTCGGATTCAGCAGCCTTCATTCTTCCCACTTCAACTAGAAAACTGTGACAGCAGGCTTGTCTTAATCTTAATAAAAGAGTCAATATACTTGAGGTCGAACCTAACTTTTCACTTGCTAATAAGGTTTTAGCCTTTTTCTGAATGCCTTGTTCTAATTCTCTATAGTATTCCAATTCTTCACCCTCCATTTGGACACTGTCTTCCATTACATGCTTATCTGGTAATGTCAAAATAGGTTTTCCATCTATCAAAGAATCCTTCGACCGTCTCAATAGAATGGCTCTCAATAACGCCCTTAACTTTTGCATACTTTTCTTCTTATCAAACTCATCATACCCGGAAGATTTAGATCTAATGGGCAAAACTATATCCGACCGGAATTTGCTTTCATCATTATAAGGTTTGATTCTTAAAAATCGCAAAAGAGGGAAAAGTTCTTCAACATTATTTTGAATAGGAGTTCCTGATAAGCAAAATCGATGGATCCCTTTTACACAATACAGAGCTTTAGAAGCAATTGCACTTTTATTTTTTATATTCTGAGCTTCATCAAGAATTATTCGATAGAAAACAGCATCAGTGGCAAAAAAAGGTGATGTGTAACTTGTTCCGCCAGCTTCTAAGTCAGGAATAACATTTTGATTCCGACTAAGACGAGCTTCCTCTAAAGGACCTTGGTAATGTTTCTTCCACTCAGACGATAATGTACCATAAGAAGTTAAAACTACATCATATTTCTCCAAGGAGCTAAATGTACGAAGAGATTTCTTTTCTGAACCGTGGTATATGGCTATTTTGATTTGGGCATTAGGCTTAATCTTAGATTCAATTTCAGCTGCCCATTGTCTCAATAAAGATACAGGGGCAACTACCAAAGTCGTCTTACAACTATTGTCATCTGGCTTGTGGGCCATAATTAATGCAATTGTTTGTACAGTTTTTCCTAGACCCATATCGTCAGCCAAAATTCCACCCTTTGATTCAGACTCCTCCATTCTTAATAACCAGGCAAGTCCCAATCTTTGATGTTTTAACAACGTAATTGCTAATTCAGACGGTGTAAGTGATAATCCTTCTTCATCTAATTCCTCGTCTGGCCTTATATTATTCAATAAGTTTTGGAGGTGTTGTTGATCGTTATCTGAATATATATTGGCTGAAAAACCAGTCAAATTTCCAAGGGGCTTATCCATTATTGGTTCATCTGTATTATCCATAGTATTTCTTTCCGACCAATTATTGAAACCAAATGGATTATCGATAATATTAACTCCATTTCTATATTTTCCATAATTATTAATACGTAATTTCGCATCACGTATAGTAACAGTTAGCCACGAAAGTTTAGAAGCAATACCCGTTAGAAAAGAGGCAGCTGCATCTTTGCTTCGCCTGAATTTATGGTATTCAGCACCTTTAAACGAAATTTCATTTTTTAATGACATAATTGTATTCTCATCTCTCTTATCTTGCGATTCTTCTCGTTTCAAATGGCTTTGTAACAAAGTTAAATGCTGTAATAATTCGTTGGCTTTTCTCAGGTTATTTGTAAAGTCTGAAGTAAGTTGTTCATGCTTATGTAGGAGATCATCCTTTCGTTTTATATTCTCATCTAGTGTTTCTTGTGCCCTTTGAAAGTTCATTTTTTCAACCTCAGGACGATCATCTTTTGTGAAGTGTGGGACTGGAACTGGATTATTGTATATGACTTGCGCTTCGCTGGGGTTTGCTGTTGGTACTGAATAGTACGGACCATTTGAACCATTTACAAGTGTGTTGCTTTGCGACTCATGGAATCTCGGGCCCTCTGACACTTTATTTGCATTTCTTTCGAACGATGATGTCTTAAACTTCCCTATACGCGAGGCTTCTTCTGCATCCAAGATCATGATATCTCCATCGGAATCCATATCTTCATCTTCGCTACTGAGAATGATAATATCTTCTTGTGGATCTGGTTTTTTAGACTGGTCTTGAATTATATCATTAGCCGGGATTGATTGTGGTTTATCCACATTCTGATTTATTGCGTTTGTCGTATCCGGGTTTACCTTGGGATATGACTGCGGTTGTTGAATATAGTTTGAAGTACCAACATAGTTTAAACTACTTCTTTGGATTGGTACTTGCCGAAAGGGTCCATTATTCAGGTATAAAGAATCAAGTCTCTGTCTTTTAGGAGGCTGGTTAGTCTGTTCGATGTTACCGTTGTTATTATTTTGTCTCCATACATGATTGTTGTCTACTTCATGTATTTCATTCCCATTCTTTTGGCCATCCTTATATGAAACATTTTCAGACACATCTTCGTCATCATCAGAAGAAAGATTTATTATGTTCTGTGATGGCTCATCAGATGCCATTATTATATATAGTTAGCTCTTCTCCTATTGAATACTTTATTTTGATTATATTCTGATATCAGCGTTTATCGCCAAAATGCATAATCGCCAAAATTCGAGCATTTTGCTTTACGATTAGTTTTACAAATATTAGCTTAAGATTTATGTCGATAAAATGGACAAATTATATACGTTATATAGTTCATATAGTACAGATGGATAAGAAGAGACTGGCTCTTATTATGTGCTACGAGTATTAAACATGGTTTCAAAGATAATCACCGTTTTCCTCAAGAATTTTATCTAAGCAGATTTCCAATTCTGTTATAAGCCTTTCATTATTCTCGTCAAATGCTAATCCTCTCTGATAATCTGCTCTAGCCGCTTCGTAATTACCCAAAAAGTAGTTAGCTACGCCTCTTCTCAAGAAGTTATCAGGTGTGCACATCATCATTCCAAGTAACATATCAGCGTCATTAAATGCCCCCAAATAGTTCTTGGTCTTCAAATAAGCATCTGCTCTACTCATAAGAAACAAGCTAAGCTCTTGTAAAGTCCCTTGAAAGGCCTCGAATTTGTGTCTTCTACATATCATGTCTATTCCAATACTAAATTGTTTGGCAGATTCTTGGAATTTCCCCTGTTTGAATGCCTGAACACCTCCTTCGTACAACTTTCTAATCATCTTGGTCATATCTTTATTGAAATTCTCCTGTGTTGGTGGTGCAGGAACATCTGCTCCGTTAGCTATAAGCTCACTGGTCAACGTATTCAATTGATCAACTTCCAACTTGAGCGAAGGAACCAACTTCTCTGCCTCAGCTGGTAAAAATATCTTTTTGGACTTAGCGTCGTATCCTAATGCCACGTTCATTCTATTTGGAAGATAAATACCTGACTAAATATGTATTTACTCTAGCTTTTGTTTGATAATTTGACACGTAAAAGTTGAATGATTATGTAATACTCGAAACTACAAAAAAAAAGTTGCAATCCATTTGTGGCTGCAACATGCTTAAACATCTCCAAATACGTTTCTATTCGGGGCTGGGTTGTTACTAAAGAAATAAATAATACTCTCTTTTAGTTTTCCATTTAATATATTTTATGAATATTGAGATATTATATTGAAAATTTAGCATTGAAAAGGAGAATCAAACTTAAAATTTTACTTATTTCTTCGTTTAAGTAGTTGAATTGATGCTCAGGTAAGGAAAAGGATCGTAATATGATATTAGAGACTAATGAAATTGATGAAAATGGTATGGTTGGAGACCAACCACAGGAAGTAAAATCTGAAGAAGAGCACCCTGAAAAAACTGAACATCAAACAACTTCAAGTGTCATAAGCCATAAATTCAAACTAAGAAAACGCAAAATGGGGAACTTGATTTTGAAAACTAGTTCCTTTGCTGGAGGTGAAATTGATAATGGAAATGTTACGGGAAATGGGGAAGAGTATGAATATTCTGATCGGACTTTGGGGGGAACTCTTTCAGGAATACTATCTAGGTTCTTTCATATTAAACAGCCGAGCTCACTTGGGGAAGATCCAGACGAAATTATCAAGCCAGAATATTCGAATATGAGGCAGCAGGATGATTTAGAC